TATTCATAAATCAAGGGCCTTCATTTTTATTTTTATTTTTATTTTATTGATGTCAAAGAGTTTGCCAAATTTGTGCATTTTTTAAATTTTCATTAGATCCCTTGTAATATAGCAACACTAAATAAGAAAAAGATAAATATATTATAAAAAATAAAGATTACAAAATATAAATTACATATATATATATATATATATATATATATGGATGAGATCAAAATTAAAAATAGAATAAATTCGGTTTTTAAAGAATAAATAGTTGTGGTATGACAATAAAGTTACAAAAATTTTAAAAAATCTAAATCATTTTAAAAATTAAAATTAAAATTTTCTATGTTATTAATTTTTATAAAACAAATTACTCAATAATTTTTTATTTTTAAATAATATATTTATACGGATACGTACAAGATATATGTGTTAGAAAAATAATCATTAAAATATATATGTATACATATAAATTCTTTTGATTAACTGTATATTTTATTTAATTTGATCAAATATGTATATATATATATATATATATATATATATATATATATATATATATAATTTATATTTTATTATTTTAAAAATGGTAGTTGATAATAAATTCTCAAATATTATATTATAAGTAGTTTACTTTAAAACTCTATAAAATATATATATATATATATATATATATATTTATACAAATCCTCCATATTATCTCTAAGTAATTTTAATAGTTGTTTTTTATAATTACAATATTTTTCTTAAGTTATTATAAATTCAATGAAATTATAAATATTACAAAAAATTAAATAAATTTAATTTCTTATTTCATATAGTTTAATATCATACAAATGATCCTAAATTTTAATAAGTAAATATTTCTCCATTATTAATTGCATAAAAAATGGTTACTTTCTTCTTTAAGTTTCTTAAATTTTCTATAGTATTACATTTTAAATATCTGTTAATGAACTTAAGTGATGCATATTTTTTCTTTGAAAAAAACGATTTTTATATGTTGTGTATGATGAATTTAAATATAAAATAGAGTAATCTAATTAAAAGACTAAAATTAAATCCTTAATAGAATAATATAAAACATTTAAATTTTCACAATTTTTTTTAAACTTCCATTATAAGATTTGTGGAAAATTTATTGAAATTTATAAATACACTAAACACAAATGATCAGTTCAATCAATGTTGTAAACCTAAGTCTCATTGCTTATAAAAATTCAAATAAAATAATTTTGCATTTTCAACTACTAATACTCCTATATGAGACTTTATTTGTGATACTTTAGAATTTAAATCAGTTTAGATTATAATCTAAAAAAATTTGAAATATTTTAAAATATAAAAAATATATAAAAATAAGAAATAATAAAAAAATAAAATAGAAAAAATATTTAAATAAAGTAATTAATTTTTAATTTCTATATATATCTATATGTATATATGTTTGAAAATTATTTTTAGATTCCTCTATTTTATAAACTGCTATGAATCAAAGCCAGTTAAAGATTATCTACAATCTTTTCTAATTTAATTTGAAAATTACTTTAGTATTTTGACATATAAGTATTTGTATGTTCTACTTTAGAAATCTTAGTATTTTTCTATCATAATGCATTGAATTAATTTTTTTATTTTATTTTATTTTATTTTATTTTTTACATAAAAATATTATCTTATGTGAAAAAAATTGGTTTTTGAGGTTATATAGGATTTCAAACAAATCTTCTCAATTCCTGTTTATCATCATGCTTTTAAATTTTCAAAAAGAATACAACATACCTAAATTTATTTGATTTAAGAAGATGTTTTCTAGCATAATGGTTTTAATTTATTTAAATTTTTAAAATTTTAAAATTATCAATATATATTACAAAAAATTATATAGTTTTAGATTTTTTTATTTTTGAATATAGAATAAATAAAAATGTAAAAATAAATAAAAATATAAAAATATTTTTAATTTAATTAAAATTAAATATTTAGTTTTAATGAAAATTATAATTTTATTATTTTCCTTAATTTTTTATATTCTAAAAAAATATCAATCACATATTGAAAATATATTTGTATTAGATTTATTCACACATACTCAGTCAATATCTTGATTTTTACGTATTTGAATGGTAAAAATAAATTATTTTAGTCACTAATTTTTACAGCTTCTCAGTTTTTCCATTACCTACAATAAAATTTCACTCATATCTTTGAATTAGAAAGTTACAAAATATTGAATACGGTTAAAACCTGATTAAATATAGGAGGTTTTTTTTATTATTTTCTGTTAATAACACTCCATTCAATCACAGAAAATTCAATTACACAAGCTTACTATGTTCTTTTACTTTCCATAAAATAAAGGTGAACCAACAATAATATTGTGATTCATCAGACTCCAACCCTTTCAAGTTTTATTACATCATAACTAAGTGGAGGAGCACCCAAGGAACTCAAACCAATCCGTTAACACACACTCGTAAATGTGTACATATTATAAAGTTATAAGTAAAATCAAACACACAATGGGGTTTGCTTCTTAATAAAAATAAAAAAATAATTTAAAATAAAATGTAAAATAAAAAGAAGAGTTTTAGAGTTTGAGAAAACTAAACTAAAATGTTCCAATAATCCCACCAGCCCACCCTCCCACCCACCCAAAACAATGATTGAAGCTTACTGACAAGGGCTGGTCTCAGAACTCTGACATCTCAATCATGAGAGTATTTAAAATATATATATACATACATATATAATCCTCTTTCAGTTCATTATTTTTTATATAATATTTTTACTATTAATATAATATTTAATGCGGTTCCCACAGGCCACACCAAGAATATGTTGTGAGCTCTCATGTGTTAACTGTGGCTGAGCATCAGCAGGGCACCACTGATCGGACAGGCTTCGTCTCGAATAGTTGGTGGATATCTCATTTGAATTCCTAGTATTTGTTGCATATTTAGCTTGCAGCATTTGTGGACTTAAAATTTACTATCTTTTTTAGAATAAGTAACAAGCTAATAGTTGAGTGAAGCTTTTTGAATTACAAATAGATACTGTGAAATGTAAAAAAAATTAAGACTTTTTCAGATGTATGTATATATATTTATATTTATATATATATATATATATATATAAATCATTTCTACAAAGTAAAAAACTTAAGTTCTTTGTTTTATCATTCAAACATCTGTTGCTTTTGTGAAAGTAAAAACTACGTTTTACATTTCAATCATGCTATCCTACTATTGTACACACATATGAAACGTCTTAAACTATCATCCTGCAACCATCCACATGATGATGCCCGGACATCCAGCGATTGGGAAGCAGGTGCTCGTCTGTACAACATTAGGGAAAATAATAAGCAAAATTCATTCTTCGACAAAGGTACTAAATTTTCCTAACAAATCCATGCCCAGTCCTATCTCAGAAAGCCAGTATTGCTGATGCCAACCTCTGTCAATCCATTTCAGTACCAGGGGCTCAGTTGAGTGAGCCACTACATCAAAGAGAAAGTCCACAAAGACCCACTCTGTTGCTTGATTTGAACATGGATTGAGAAAAATCCTCTTCAACAATTCCCCGGAGACTGGCTGTGAATGGCTCGTCGTCACAACCCACATGCAGCTGCTCTTTCAATCCTCAACCGCATCACAGGCATGCCGCAATCTGTACTCCCCTGAAGAGATAACTGAACGCGACATAACTTCTGGAATCACGTGGATAATTCGCAGTACCGACAGCTTAGCTTAGGCACTGTACTCTCATCCCCGAACAGCCTGCATAGATTGCGCAGAACATTGTACCCCATGAATGTGTTTTATACGTGGTTAAGAAGACGGTTTGGGAGAAAGGGTACGGACGAGTGAGCTGTTTGGAGGAAAAGATGACCAATGAAGCCTATAGGTCAACTAGCGAAGTCCCCAAGGACATAAATATATGCAAATACCTTCTTGTGGCTTACTCATGGCCAACTTATAACTTGCATGATCACCGGTAGAGACTGGAACACACGGCACTACATATTAATAATTTTCAAGCGGTGTAGAGAGAGCTCTGAAATGAGTGGAATGGATTGCGGCGAGGCTGCCAAAAAAGGGAACGATGAAGTTATGTTGTCCTTCAGGGGAGGAATCATCTTGACACAATAAGGGTGGACCGGATCAGGTCACCATTGACCCCCCAGGACTCTCAGGCTGCGTATAACCGACAGCTAGCAGTTCCCTCACAATGTTCACTGGATCATTCCCTTGGTTGTTACAGATTCGACATCGTAGGTGTTCGACTATCGGGCATATCCAGTTACCCCTATCAGGTGAAAAGGTTGTGACTTGTGCTGGAATCATTACCAGAACATGAGGGGGCAATGGGCATGACAGATATGTACCGGTGGTGCAGTGGAGATCAATCAACTTCATGACTGTAGTGCTTCATGATCTGGACAAACGGGCCACCAACAGCCATCAAGACGAAACCATGGACAATTTCTTCGTGCTTAACCAACTGAACTCTCCATCGACGGCTGCCGTCCGGTAACCAGGAGCCATCGACTTGGAGAGGATTCTAGATGCTTGTCCCTGACTCCAGTAAATGCAAATGTATTGTTTCAGAAGAAGTACCAAAACTGCTTACGATGAAGATCTTCACGTCATGTTGTCAGTTTGATCGGTTTCGAAGCACCTACATTGTGCACCATGTGTATGAACCAATGTGTTCTGAAAACTCTTTGGCAGTTTTGAAGCTTAGATTCCAGATGCTGGGATTTCTCCAGATCAGCTTTGAACTTTCACCACCTCCAGTCCCCCACTCTTGGGAATAATGCTCAGAAATGAGCTGTCAAACTCTGCACGAGCGAGGCTATAGGTGGATTAAGAAATTGTTAGCCAGCCAGTGACATCGCTGTTGAGGTACTATGCGGTCATTGCCAGGACATACCTACTGCCATATGCCCCCCTGGTGGGCCAGATGCCAAGCTGCATCATTTCAAGTGCTGACAATCATAAATATGTACTCTGGATCCATTACCACTCTGCAACACATTCTTTACGGCATCTCCGTTCTCATTCATGCCCATTTGTTGCTGAATTTGTAACTGAAGGTCTGTTTACTATTGTTGGTCATTGTCCTTTCCAACATCAAACTCTTTTGTGGCCGATAATTGACATGCACGTCTCCTAACGATCTTCATTGACGCAGAATCGAAGTAGACCTTGTACTTCAGCTGTCAGTTGCAACGATATGCACTCGTTGCTGTCAAAAACTATGTGATACCAACATACACGATTGCATCGGCAGGATAGCAGAGTTTTGTTTACTTATTCTTTGCACATCATTGTTGTGGCAGTGTGGAATACTGACAGGTTTCAATTCCTGGATTTGTCTGACATGTTCCAGATTAAGTGATAGAACTAAATCGTCTTCGATTGCTGTCGACAGAAATTGAACATCAGAATGATATAATTTCCAGAGATTAGTGGCAGGGTTTTTCTTTGGTGTTACTATTGTTGGGTTACTGATACCATACAGGAGCCAGAGCAACTCGAGTGGAAATTACATGGAGATGAGACTTCACTCGAAGAAGAGGAAACCTGCTTTGTGGACTGTGATGGCCATGATGATAGCGCAGCTGATCTTTCATCCTCGAATGTGCACCGGGGGAGCGTTGCGACCGGGATATTATGCTCAGACCTGTCCAAATGCGGAGAATATTATACGGGCGGCTATGGAGTGGGGAATGCAACAGGACAGTGGAACTGCGCCAGGCGTTCTTCGACTTCATTTCCACGACTGCTTTGTAGATGTAAGTAGCGAGCATCTTCAAGCAAATGCCAGTTTCCAATAGACCATGAAATTCGACATCACTCAATCCAAATTAAATGGCGAATCCTTAATTGAGCAGTAAGAACGAGAGATTCAATTCTCCCCTTCAGGAAAAATAATAAAGCATAGTTAATTCACCTCGGAGCTTGACTGTGAATACAGGGATGTGACGGATCAGTGCTTCTCGAAGGACCGACATCGGAGAAAACAGCACCTCCAAACTCCAGTCTACGAGGATTCGAGGTAATTGATGCGGCAAAGGCAGAACTGGAAGCTACATGTCCAGGAGTGGTCTCGTGCGCTGACATTCTGGCATATTGTGCTCGCGACGCTGTAATTATGGTAAGCTCGCGAACAAGCTATATCGTTTCAGTTCTTTGATTCTGTCTATTTAACCGTTTTATGTCTCCCCTCTGAACACAATGCACACACACTATTGTCTCTCTGGTAGACGGGTGGGTTAGGATGGCCTGTCGAAGCAGGTAGACTTGACGGTCGCTCTTCCGACGCTAGCAGAGCGAATGCCGAGATACCGGACCCAAGCTTCAACGTGGCCCAGCTCATCGACTCATTTGCTCGCAAGGGGTTGACCAGGAGTGACATGATTGTTCTCTCAGGTATCTATTCCCATTCTCTCAGCGTAAGTTCTCTCCAATTCCACGCACGCTCAAGGTTCAATCTCCTCACCCATTCTGATGCTCATAAAGCTCACCACGGCAGGCGCGCACACCATCGGCCGCGCCAACTGCAAATCCGTGGCGACCAGGCTCTACCCAGTCCAAGACCCCAGACTGAGTGAGCCTCTCGCCGCCGAACTGAAATCTGGGTGTCCGCAGCAAGGAGGTAGTGCGACGTTCAACTTGGATTCCACCCCAGACCGATTCGACAACAACTATTACGCCAATGTTGTGAACGGACGCGGCATCATGAACTCCGATCAGGTGCTGTTTGACGACCCCTCGACGCGCCCTGAAACCACGTTTAACGCCGTGGGTTCAGCGCCGTGGGCATTCCGGTTCAGCCAAATCATGCTCAAAATGGGAACAATCGACGTCAAAACTGGTCCCCAGGGCGAAATCCGCCGCAATTGCAGGTCGGTTAACTAACAAAATTCCAAGCTTGGGCATCTTGCGCTTCGGTCTCGACATCGCTTCATTCCCCGTCCACTCACCACGATCGCTACCGACACTGCAACACTACGTGAAAAACTAGCATCCGCGAAGCATGTCCGCGGTGTCGGCAGCATGGTATGTTTCGTGATCTGCATGTGTAGTTGTATTTTATCATGGTGTACAGCACATCGGAAGTTGTGCAGTAAATTTGATACACTTATTAATCCGGAACACCGAATAAGGAGCATTGTCTTGACGCTCAATGGTAGAAAACTACCCCAATAAAAAAATAGTTAATTTGTTGTATTGTTTGTGGGGTTTCTCTTGTGTTGTTTGAGTTGGATGTGTTCCACTCTGAGAATGAATTCCACAAGTTGGTCAATTCCACTGAGAGTGAATTGATAATGCATGTAGAACAAAGAATATAAGTAAATGTTATTATATTATAGTCAATAGAAGATCCAATTCTTTTAATTTACAAAACTTAAAGGGTGTTTGGAATAATGATGGTATTGAGAATAATTTTTATAGTAATAGATATACAAAGAATAAATGATAAAAAAATTACAATGTAAATACATTCTTTTATTGGTCAAGTATTTTGTTTTTGATTTATTAAATAGAGTGTAGAGAACACGGTTTAAATGACATGTATTTGAAACCAAAAAGTATTAATTTAGTTTTTAATTATTCAAATAAAAAATTGTTGATATTTCTAATAAATATTTTGTTTAAAAATAATTAAAATTAAGATTAAAATTAATTAAATAATCAATAATAATAAGTTGTGGTAGTGGTATCAAAAATTGTGGTGGTATTAATAGCATCCTTTATGTATTTATTATCTGTTTTGAGAAATTTTATGTAAAATTTGCAATTTTTTGCAATTGATTGCTAGAAGATTCAAATGCACTAAGGACTCGGCAAAAAAAAAAAGAGGAAAAAGGACGAGGAGGGATGGATAGAGTAGAAAATATCACACATTAGAATCAATAGTACAAAAAAGTGCTTAGTTCTCAAATGTAAAAGAAGGTAACAATTCAATATCAGCATATGAGAAAGATTGATATTAATACAACAACTCAAATTATTTCAACAGCCAACCTTGGTGCTACCACATCAAGGAGAATTAAAATTAACACATTATCAATGAGAGTTAGTCCAAGAGCCTATCTCAATACTAACAATGTTTGGTCTAGTGTAAATACAAATCAACAACATTATTTAGAACGGTTTCTAATAAGGTAGCAATACCAATATATTAGACAAGGAGAAATGTTTTGCTATATAGTTAGTTCCAAATAAAAAAATACCTTTGAATTTGAAGATGAGCATTCATACCATATACAAGAAGAAAAGAGCTATAAAAAAATTATATATATATAACAAAAAAAAAAGTATAATAAATAAAAAAGAAGAAAATCTGTAACTTCCAAGGTTTATTTCTTATCCAATAGCTAAAAACATCAAATTAGTTAAGTTAAGTATTTTTTTTAAATATTGATCTTAGTACTTCTCTTTGGCCATTTTAAAAAGAAAATCTACTTTTGGAGGAATATGAAAATAAGAGCTTGTTTTCATTCATCAAAGCCTTACATAGAAAGAATAAACAACCAAATATACAATAAAAAAGACATATTATTTTCTTTCGATATGTAAATTAAGCGAATTCTTTTTCAATGTTTATTTTTGAATGATTATAAACTTATATAGTAATAATATATAAGACTTAAACAACTTAATGAAGGTTCTTAAATTATAAAATTATATTACTAGCATTCAATCCAAATACGATATTTTTTTCATTCAAAGATACAAATTATGTAAGAAATGAGTCTTTTTTTTGAATAAAATGATGTTGAAGTTTGATATGTTTTGTTCTTCTATATAGGATTGGATTTTGCATAATCTTGATGCAACTCTTATTATTATTCTTTAGTATTGTTAGTTTTCTTTTGTAGAATTTTAATTTGCTTAGCATTCTCCATAGGTGCACTATATCTTAAGTTGCCTTGGTGAAAACCTTGTATTTAGCCTTTGTTGTAGAAAACACCACAATTGCTTGTTTTTGCCACACCAATCCATAGATGAGCCTTCTAACTTGTATAATATTTTTGAGGTCAATTTTTTGGTACCTATGTCACAAACAAAGTTTGTATCTATATATGAAATTAAGGGCCCTTTATTTTTGTATTTATAAAACAATGCATAATTTGATAAAATTGAAACTATTTAAGATAGTCATCTATATTTCTTTTTTAAATTTATCATTTAAGAATGATATTTTTATATCAAATTGTTTCAAGTTCCATTATTTTTGTGCAACTAGTGCTATAGTTGTGAAGATGGTGCTTCAAAAATCCATAAGAGAAAATGTCTTGCAGAAGTCTTCTCCTTCAATCTGCTCAAAATTGCATGTAACAATCCTTGTATTATATTTGTTAATTTTTCTTTTTATGTATATTTTTTTATTTTTCATATCTATTTTTTTGTAATAGGTTTTTTTTCTTCTACATAGATCTGTCAACTCTAAGATTTTATTTTTGTATATTGAGTTGCTTTCTTTTGTTATTATCTTTCTCTATTTTTTTTTGTTAATAATTACTTTTTTATAGTTTGCAAGGTCATTATCATCACCTACCTTGGCCAAGAGTGTGAGGTAATTTCTCAATTGTATTGATGGCCTTTTGTTTCTAGTAGAATGTCTCTTTTCTAATAAAAGGCCGCATACTAACTCTCTTTTTTTATTTTGATTTATTCAAAATATTCTTTTCTAATGCACTACCAAATCCTAAAATTCTATTGTGCCAAGTATGCCATTAACCAATCATAGATGCTCTTTGTGATTTTTTTATTTAACTTTGTTGAGTAGGTCTACTTTGACTTTGGCTAAATTTTTTTTGTTATTGGTTTTCTTTTTCTTTTTCTTTGCTTAATTGAGACGTGCTAATTTGAATGGATTTTGTTCTATAGGTGATCTTAATTTCAAGTGATGATAGCCAATTCAACTTTCATCAAATATTACATCTTATATTATGATGATTTTTTGCTTCTTATGATTATACATTCTATTAGCTTTGATAACTTTATTATATCCTAAAAATAAATATTATCTAATTTTACTTTCTAATTTGCTTTTCTTTTCTTTGAGTACATAGCAAATACATCCAAAATTTTTGGAGTTAATTGCACTTGGTTTTTTCTTTATATACTTCTCATCTAAGATAACTTTGTGATTTATGTGTGTAGGTCCATGATTTAGAAGATAATTTTTCATGTTTATTTTATCTCTATTCAAAAGGAATTAGATATTCCATCTTCACAAACTATGGCTCTTGTTTTCTTTATTAGATTTTAGTTGTATTGCTCAGCAATCCCATTTTGCTGAGGAGTTTTGGATTGTGTATATTGTCTATATATTCTATTCTTATTGTAGCAATCATTGAATTATTTTAATAGAAATTTATTATCTCTATTGATTTGAAATATCTTCAATTTTCTTCTTGTTTCTTTTTTAATTCTTTCTCTAAATATTTTGAACTTGTCAAATACTTGTTATTTTATCTTCAAGAAATAAAACCATCTTTTTTTTGAATGATCGTCTATAAAGGCTAAAAAATATTTTGATCTATTGAGAGATGCTTTAAAAAGCGGACCTACTACATTGGAATGAATAAGTTCTAATACATGCCTTGCTTTTGTTGTAATTTTATTAAAGAATCTTTCTTTCTTTTTACAACCAACTAAGTATTTGTGGCAAATAACCTTACTTAGATCAATTTGAGGTAAGCCATCTATTATATTTTTTATCATCATTTGTTATAGCATTTACACTATAAGCAATGTTGTCTCCTATTTTATAGAAACCATTACTACTGTCTTTACTGCCAAATCTTATAATCAATCTATTTCAAAGATTTTTAAAAACAAAAAAATTATCTTTCATGAATACAACTATATTATTTTTGTCAATCAATGTGCCTACTAATATGAGACTACACATCAAAGATAGGATATAAAGAACGTCATTTAACTTTATTTGTTCCTTTTTTGTATATAAGTAACTATTTCATATCCCTTTAAACTTGTGTTTCTCTCTTCTTACAATGATAATTGATTTTTTCCTATCACCTAAGCTCTTAAATAATTCTAAATATTTTTTTAGATTCAATGAAATATTTAATTGATCCTAAATCCATGTACCAGCTACAATCTTTGTTTAAATTTTCTTAAAATTTGGTATAGGCTACCTCTAATATCTCTTCTTTAACTTTGATTTCTGACTCATTGCTATATTTACAATGGTTCTTTATAGAGATTGTAAAATTCAACCACAGCTCTTTTAGATCCTTATAATTTTTGCATTCTTATGTGTAGTGACATTATTTATTGCATATATAATACATTACCTTACTTCACCCTTTGTACTCTATGACTTTTTAAAGTATTAATCTTTTTTTATATTTAAGTAGCCAATAGAATTGTATCTTTAGCCTTAGTTAAATGAGTCCCCTTTTTTTTTTCAAGGTAATGTGGACTCTTTTGAAAAAGTGTATTAATAGTTTTTTTTTGTCTTTCAAGTACGAGTTTTGGTGCTGCAATTTATGATGCCTAATCAAGACAGCCACACTTATTCTATTAAAGGTAAGAAATACCACACCATTTGTAATGGTAGATATAATATATTTGTATGGCTTTGGTAGGTCATTGAGTACTGTTTGAATCAATGTGTAGTCAAATATTAGTTCTTTCAAAGCATCTAATTGATTCTTTAGCTTCCTTGCTTTATTGAGGTACTCTTCTATTATTCCTCCTTTTAACATCTTCATTTGATTGAAGTGATTTGTAATAAACAAAACTATGATGAATTTCTATTTTGATAATGTATATTATGAATCTCTAGTTTGATAATCTGTATTTTTAACATCTCTTATACAAAAGTAAGATCCTTGGATTTTGTAATAATATTGACCAACAAGTCCTTTACCAACATTATAATTGCTCTTCATAAAATGTAGTTGCTATTTTGTTACTAGATATAGTGCTAGTATCAAATTTTTTTCACCTATAGAATATGTTTAATTTCTAAATCTTTTGTCACAACCTCAAACATAAAGAGCCAAATTTGCTACTTAAAAATTAAGCTACAATCTATAATTATTCTAATATAGAAGAACATGTATTGGATATTAACTTACAATCACCTTAAATAGAGCCCCTAAGCATCACATCGCAAGAATCATAAGACTAGAACAATCAACATCTATGTTGATATTCCATTAGAAACCAAAAAAAAAGTCTAACTTAATTG